TCCTGCTTCTTCTGTTAAACATCAACTCTTTCACGGTTTTTGACATCCTTTATGGAGTGTATGAGGCAGAAAGTAATGCGTCGTACTAGGGACAACTGTTTATACTTGAACTTCAAATCATGTTTCATCAGCATACCACTTGACATCTGAACAAACTCCCGTATAGAAAGAGATCTCTCAATCTTTGTTCATGTTCCATGTGAAATAAGTGTGCAACATTGTGGTGAGAAAAATCTAGTTCTTGCTACAAAATGTGTGTTTTTCCTCTTCTGATGGCATGCTTAACTTTAGACATAAACTATTTAAATTCCCAACTGTCAGCAGATTGACGTGTGGTACCAAGGATTGCTATTTGCTCCAGTTTGTCACCATGTGGTAACTTATCACTTAAATTCTTCCTTTCAGATTCGTTTTCTTGCATCAAGGGCACACATACTTTCAGAAAAGTGGGACCATGTACCTATTGTGCTTGCAGGTGATTATAATAGTACTCCCCAGGTGTGAATAGCTGAAATATATCTTTACGAAGTATGTTATTGACTTCTATTTTTAAAAATTACTTGCTGAAACGATGCCTCTTTGTTTATCCCTTGTGACAGAGTCCAATCTACAAATTCTTGTCATCATCCGAGGTAATATGCCAGATCCCAATTTTGTATCCTTTATGCAATATTAAAGTACTTCTTAAGTAATATGATCAGCATGCTTTTTCGTTGAATTGTTTGCTTCTCAAAGGTTTTGTTTTTGATATAGCAGCTCAATCTAATGCTACATAACCGAAAAGAGTTATCTGGTCAGAGACTATGCCATCCCTCTCAAGTTCTTGGTCTGAGAAGAGAAAAGGGGATTTTGTTTGTTTTAATGGACAGGTGAAGCAAGGATCTTCCAGTACTTATTATATCTTTTGAAGGTCTATGTGCTCCTATAAATCAGATAGCTAGAGTGTTCATAAAACCTAAGGGGGGTCATAAGTTGCTTCAGTTTTTTTTTGTGAGAAAACAATGTGGTGTTTTTTAACATGACAATCTTCTCTATATCCTCATTCTCAGTTTTCAACTTCTCTATAATGTAGGGGTGTCAAATGGGCGGGTTGGTTGAAATTGGAAATATTAAAATGGGTTGAATAGAAATCGGGCTGGGTCTTGACCAGCCCAATTTTACTTTGGACTCAAATGGATTGGGCTCAAATGGGCTAAAAAAACGGGTTGGGTCTTGACCCGCCCAATTTGACCCGATTGATCTCAATAATTTAACATATTGATATTTGACTTTTATAATCACAATTTGAATTTCCCCTCAAGAATTATTTGTTTAAAAAAGTAACAAATGGATAGATAAATCCTAAAAGATGTTAAATAGACAATAATTCATACCTCCGATATAGGAACATGTCTTAAGAAAAAGTTTTAAAACGGATTGAAATTGGAGATTGAATTGAGCTCAATTGAGAATTCTCTTCAAATGGGTTAAGCTTGAACGGGTTGAGATTGAACCCAATTCAAATTATTTTGAGCCCAACCCTTAAAATTATGGGCGTGTTACCTATGTTTTGGTCAACTTCACTATATCACCAAGTTTGTTTATGGGGATAAGACTTCGTCACATTGATAGAATATAACAAAAATGGAGATATGAAATTAACCATTTACATAAGGCTTAAATATTTAATAATCATAAAAGACGTATAACTCTTCCAACTGTTTATGTTGGTTGTTGCTGATTTTATTTGGGTTCAGCTATTAATGCCCTTCCTACATTGTCATGTGTGTTTGATTCTTGATCCATTTATGTTTGAGATTTCTGATATCAATTGGTTTACTTGTGAGAAAACTAAATTATTTGTATTATCATATGATTCTGATGAAGAATTCTGTTGTGTGCATGCAATTGACTTCAGATTTTTTAATTCTCGATGGAGCGATGAGGAGATAAATGTTGCGATTGGTGCCCTTAAATCCCACATAGCTATGCACCCTTTGAAGCTAAATAGTTCTTATGCGATGGTGAAGGTAAGGCTTGTCCTTCCTATCTACAGTTTTTGTTTATTTCTTTGTATATTCCTCTTATGCAGACGCTACCTCTTCCTTCTTCTTAGGGACCTCTAACAACAAGGGATAACAGTGGTGAACCATTAGCCACATCTTTCCACTCGAAGTTTCTGGGAACTGTTGACTATTTGTGGTACTAATGATGTTGATTACAACTGCTACTCATATTTTTCTTCTAACTTGATTGAAGGGAGTAAGCACTAAAGTAAAATCTTCCACATGCAGGTATTCTGATGGTCTTGCACCCACAAAAGTTTTAGATACTTTACCAATTAATGTCTTGAAGAAAACAGGTGGTCTTCCCTACAAGGTATTGTTCTTCTGACATAGTAACTTGATGTTGTTAATAAGAACGTCTTAGATTATGCAAAAGAAGCAAATACATTAATAAGGTTGTTAAAACATCTAGTAAATGAGGAGGTAATATATCTCATATAGTCACTTAACTTTGATACTTCACTTAGAAAGTCACTCAACTTAGAATTGTTCACTTAGAAAGTCACTAACTATTGGTATTTCACTCAACTATTAATATTTCATTTATTTAGTCACTCAATCGACTCAAATATTTTTTTCATTAAATTTTATTAAAATAAAACATCTATTTTAATTATCTTATTGACCAACTCTAATTATTTATTTATTTATTTATTTTTTATAAAAGGTTGGAATCAAGAAGTTAAGAATCCAAAAAAAAAAAAACTGTAGCAATCTTATTTTTTTTTAAAAAAAAATAGTTCAAAAGATTATATATTTAAAATATTTAGTAAAATAATTAAGAGTGTCTTATTAATTTTTAAATAAGTTTAAAACAAAAATAGTATTTTAGCAAAATTTAATTTTTAAAACATTTAAATTAGTTGAGTGACTTTCTACGTAAAATATCATAGTTGAGTGACTTTCTTAATGAAAAACTTGTAATTGAGTGATTTTTGAGTTATAACACAAAGTTGAGTGACTTTCCAAGTAAACTACTCTAAGTTGAGTGATTTTCTAAAAGAACTATTGAAAGTTGAAGTTGAGTGACCATCTGAGATATTAACTCAGTAAATGACCTAATGCTTGATTGCACATTTGGGATAGATTCAGCCATCAAGAACCATTGTCACAACATCTTTTCTTTGTGGTGAACCAGTAAAGGTTTATTTCGTAAGCCGGATAAGAGCACTCCTAGATCTCATTACGTTTGATATATTCCTTGAGATGTTTTGTGTGTTGAGTTCTTCTCTAAAGCTAATTTTGATCTGAATTTCTGGACCGCAGAAATTGGGTAGTGATCACTTGGCTTTGGTTTCTGAGTTTGCATTCTTGGAAGTTATTGGAGCAACTGAAGACCGTCTATCAGTTAAAGGTGACATCTGTTAAACAAACTCCTCATCATGGCATGCAGGTTCAAGACAACATGGGAAACAAACTGGATATTGCATATGTCAAACAGAGTTGCATGAATTAAGTTGAGAGTAAAACATGACAGTATAGTTTGTGATTACTAAGCAAATGCAATGTTCTATCCGCTGTTGACTAGAATTATACTACCTACAAATGATTGTTGTAGCGTAGATGATGGGAACTCATTGTTCGGACATATGAATATGTAATCGTTGAACAAATCTGTACCTTTAATATCGTCTCAAGTTTTTGTTTGCAACTCTGCATTGCACTAGGAACATATATGTAATAATGTCAACACAAAACCAAGTTTGCAGCGTTATGATCTCAAAATTTTCACAAAACCAAGTTTGCAACGTTATGATCTCAAAATTTTCTCTTCCTAATGAGATGTTATCAAGACTTGGCTAACAGGATGAGAAGTACTTCTTCCTGGGTTTGCAATTTGCATCTAGTTAGCTGGGTGGGCAACAAATTTCATTTAGTTCCAACGTCTTTGTCCATATAAAATTCTGTTCCTCTCAAATCGTTTGGTCATGTGAAATGAAATTGAAAGTCATATAAGATAAAGTTGAAATTTTAAGCCAAATATATTTTGCTCATAAAACTCACATAGTACATGTCACAAAGGAATTCTAGATAAAGAAATTATGTAACAGTCATGGATTGAATTTTGGTTCAATAAAAAAGTAAAATTGAATATGAGTAATATTTATCTACCAACAAAAATAGCATTTGGTAAAAAAATTATCAAAGAGACATGTGATGGAAATGAGATATTTAGTGTAAACAAATAACATTTATGTGGGTAAGAATAATAGTTATATTCAATAAAAATGGTTTAAAGCATTATAAGAGAATAATGTTAACAATATCTTTTGTTTGCATATTAAATAAAGGGTTGGAGGATATAAAATGGTGGATTTTTTTTACAAAATGTGGGTTAATTTTTGTATTTGAAAAATGTGAAATCATATATAAAGTTTTTATAATCAATTTTTATAAAAAAAAATTGAAATTTCATCTTATGATTTGAAATAATGAGATAAAAATTTTCTCAAAACTTTTGTCAAACATGTAATTTGTGTTTCACCAATAGAAGAAAAATACCTTTCCTATTCATAAGAGAGATCTTCATATTTAATTTTTTGTTTCTCCATTATTTCACGAATATTTAATTTTATTATGATAATTTTAATTTTTATACCTATTTATTTCTCGGGGCATCATTAAAAATATCATAAATATTTTCCAACAAATATTTTTTATGTCTATCTGAATAAGTGAGATTCGTCGGAGTGATCGAATACTTTTTATCATCAATGCTAGTTTGAGCATTCATGTTACTCCCCAAAAAATGAGTAAATTAGACATTTCCTTGTCATTTAGCACTAATTCAGGGACTGTATTTGCAATATGATGAAATAGTTAAATCTAAGCGTATCTTGACTCTAGAGTCGAATGGATATATAAACACAAACGTGTAGTCATTGACACGTCACTTGCAAGGATTGAAATAATTATAGCCAAAAAAAAATAAAATTATAGCCAATTATAGAAAGCCAAGTTGCAATTTGGGAACCTTTTTTACAGACACTTATTCTGGACGGCAAGAATCGGGCGTGTTATATCTTTACCGACTCCTACTTCGCCGGACACGGATCCATTTTCTCTCTCTATCTCGCCGGAGAATTTTGGAAATTTTGTTTTACAGTTATTTCAATTGAATAATTTTTTCTTCCCGGAGATATATCGGTTTCCATTATTTGTTGTTGTTGTTGTTACCAAATCTAATCTACGTTGTCGCAAACCGATGCAACGGCTCGTTGACCATACCCTTGCTGTTACCAAAGAGTAAGTTCTTCATTTCTCGTCTTTGTTATGTGTATGATATGCACATAATGTACATGCATGTATGCGATTCAGGCGTATAGTGGTTCTGATTGGAATGAAATGGAGGGCAGGCGGAATGTGTGGAAGATTTATTGATATTTGATTGAGGCTTATCTGATTGTGATCTTTTGCTTTCTCGCATTAAGTTTTTTTTGGAGAATTGTTGTTCCAGAGGTTGAAATTCGCCATGATTGTCGTAGTTCAGGTGCACAAATGTTATATTTATTGACGTATGAGTGTACATCTTGCTCAGCTGTTAAATGCTTAAGTTTTGGTGGGAAAAAAATGTAAATTTGTGTGTAAGTTTCTATCTTGGGTTTAGTTGATCAGCCAGAGCTTAAGAAAATAAGAAGTAGAGCAATACGTACCACATCTTATTTTGTGAACCTCAAGCTTCTTTATATTTTACTCTTGATGCCATTTATGGTAGTCAAACTTATAGAACAATTGTTTTTTTGGATACATTTAGCTATAATCTCCACTATCCATACAGTAGGATAAACATGAAATATTGCAGAAGTTCCCTTTTTAATTGTACTGATTGCCTAAAGGGCATTGGTTGAGTGCAGGCAACATTATAAGCTCAATATCTATATGATTTCCTTCCTTTCTTTGTCCTTTTTTATTTTTATGGAAATATAATAGACGGAACTTTTCATAAGGATATTAGATAACCCACTGCCACTGCTTTAGAAGTCAGCACTATTACTTGGGCGGATGGATTGGAATAAGCTCTGAAGTTATAGTCATAAACTAGCTCATACTCAGCTGAATCATCTCATTCCTACGTTGTAATATTTATTCAGCTTGAAATCCTAGGGTTACTCTCACGCTGCTTTCTGGCTGTAGATTTTTGTCTCAGCTTTAGCAAGTTTTGTTATTGATGCATCATTCAGTGTTTCTGTTTGTCGTCTTCATTTACTCAGGTCAGTTAAGACATTGACCTATGAGTCGCTGAATAATGTTGTGAGATTGATTAATGGAGTGTCAGCACTATTATTGACACTATTGCCGGGGAAATCTACTATTCTTGAAGGCATACATGGCTGGGAACTTCGTCCAACCTTTCGTGGACCTCGGCTTCCACAGTGGATGGAGAAGTGAGCTTTCTAATTTTTTTTTCATGTTTCTCTCTTTTGACTTTTGAATCAATGTTTTTTTAATAATGCAAATGTATTAACGTTTACCTTCTTGGTGATCACAGTGGCGCCTCATCTTTTAACCAGTTCATCCATGAACATTCTTTTGATTCTGATTCCTCCTCCTCAAGTGTAGATTATTCATCAGAAGAAGAAGAACAATATACTGATGAAACCAGTTGTCCTCCATCTCCACTGTCACAAAGTTCTCGGGTTTCTAGAGCCCGCAGTCTTTCAAGGCGGAACAGGCATTGGATACATTGGTTCAGATACATCATCTCATGGCTCCTATTCCCTATTAAATTTATGTTGGGCCTACCTTTGTTTATATATGCTTTGAGTAGGGGCCGTAGAGCCTCTCGGACATCTGAGAATTTTCAGTCTTCCCATGTACAAGCTAGGAAGAGATTACAGACACTTAGGGACCAAGTTATCCAGTCTACCACTGACAGAAGACGTGGCGTTGTCGAGGTTTGACTTTTCATGTAGCGTTAATCTTAGTCCATTTATTTTTTCTTCTCTTCCATTTACGGACAGGCGAAACCAGTTGATTTAGAAATGGAAGCAAATTGAAAGATAGAAGACTTCACTTTATTTTATATGATGTTGACTCAAAAATATTCCAACATCCCAGCATTCATATGATGTTGACTCTGCTTAGCTGCTAGCGTCACTTTGTTTCATCTACAATTTCCTAGGCAAATCCTGAGGAGACACTATGAATGAGCAAGATAGTTAGCCTCCCCTTTTCTGGGTTTCCTTAGATTCAGAGGAATGTATTTTGTATCTGAAAACAGTTACTGTATTACAAAATTAAAGGAGAAAATACTTGGGAGAAAGAACTGTAACGAGGGAGCAAAGAACCAATCTAGATTGAATTGGAAAAGAAAAAACAACCAGACTCTGTCCTTGATGGAAGGGTAAGAACTTTATCAATGATAAGTGGGGTTGTGATAGCGGAGGTGGTTGGCTCCTCTCCTTAAGTAGTACATCAAGGAGCAGGTTAAGGAAAATGATCCATGAAATTGAGTGGAGAAAGGGTGTGAAGAACTACAACTTTAATTAGCTTTGAAGTTTTCCTGTTTACCATTTTAATGTCATGGAAAATGTTGGACCTGAGAAGGCTAGCCTTGGGGCGACAGAGAAGTGCTCCATGTTTCTATGAGTGACTAGGATTTGAAACAAGGAAGCAGCCTCTTCATTAAGGAGGGAAAGCTGTTGACACCCATCTTTTCCTGAGTCTGCTTTAGCTGGAGCCATCTGGCACTCTGGTCGGCTTTGGAAAAAGTTGAACTTGAGTAGTTCTGTTGGTTCTTATGTCAAACAGAAGTAACCAAGCATCTGAACTAACTCCTGATGGGCTTTATCACCAACACCCTACTCCTCTGGTACTACCTTCTCAAGAACAATACCGAAGTGAAGAATAATAGAAAGGAGAAAAGGGAATATAAAATGGTGTCTTTTAGAGATCACCTTATCCCTTATATGCTATACTATTGTTTGTTTTCTCCTTGATTGCAACTTTTTATGGAAATGACTTGGTCTAAATTTTTTACATGTAGGATCTCCATCTAGCAATTGAGATCACCATAGAGGCTGTTTTTGAATTTTTCCACAAGGCTGCACACTGTCTTCTTTCACCAATAGACACCTTGAAGAAAGTGGTGAAGTGGTTTTCTTCTGACTACAGTGGTCGTGTGGACGTTCCCACTGTCGGTTCAGGTGTCTCTGTTCCTGTGGACACCCTTTCAGAGAGTGATCCTACTCCAAGAGAACAGAAAACGGGCTTTCATTCCCTAAATACAGATGCTCGGACATGTCAAGATGTCATTACAGAGCTTGGGTAAGGGTTTCTGCTTGCATCCTATGTAATTAACATTTTGCACACATTGTTTTCTTTTAAAAAATCTTGCATACGCTGTGCAAGGGATTGGGCGCTAAGTTGCTCAAACTCGGGACGGGTGTCCGATACGGGTGGGATCTAGAGGTCAGATCCTTCGTGATCTAACTTTTAAGATTCGGGCATATGGATCTATGTATGGATACGGGTGCAAGGATTCGCCTTAGAATAATTAAAATATCTAAAAAAGGAGGTATAAAACCTAGATTATGAGTCTATGAATATTATGTGGAAAACTTGAGGAGAATCTTGGAAGGAGATTAAAGGAAAAAGAGTGACATAGAAATTTCTATATAAAAGGTATTCCATTTCCTTTAATTTCACCTTAGCTTTTGTATTGATTATAGGAATCATTAAAATTGTCCAAACTTTCCCATCGATTTTGGTCAAAGTACCCAAAATCCATTTGACCAAATCGAACACGGATCCCACATCCACACCCACACCCATGTCGTGTCGACATGGGTGCGGCACCAAAAGTGAAGAGTCCGAACAACTTAGAGTGTATGTTTCCAATCCTCTTTAACAAGATTTGTTAAGTTTTTCTTATTAATCTGTGGATTTTTCTTATGTTTAGATTTAAAATATACACTTCCAATTCGTTAGAGGTCTTTTAGGTGTTGGATAGGATAAACATAATGTTGGATTAGTTTCTTTAGTCACTAATCTAGTGAACCTAGTGAATGTTTATTTCCTGAAAATGCTAAGTAACATGTAAGTTATTATGATCAGACTAAACTGGTTGGACATACTGCTTTTTTGACAAGAATTATTTTGGAAATATTTTGAAATTAGAAGTGTAAACAGAATTATAAAAATTGTGGAGTTCCAGTTATATTTTAGTCTTGTCAGTGTTGTTTGGGTACACACTATCCTCTATAGACTGTTAAAACTTGGTTGGTCAGAAGCCGTAGTAAAACTGGTTCATTTTCAGGCAACCTCACCAATACATAAGGGTGAAGTGTGTATTAAACTCTTTGTATGCATAACTAGTGTGCATTAGTTTTCAAATAAAGTTCTGCATTCCAGTCTCAACTTGTGTCTTTTTCCATTGTAGATACCCATATGAAGCTCTTCGTGTGGTTACTGATGATGGATATATTCTCCTTTTGGAGAGAATTCCAAGGTTTGGGTTCTTTTTATCATCGCACTATCTTTATGTCTACAGTTTTGAGGTGGATGTCGTATAGATGTTCCTTGATGTTTCTAACTTGATTTTGCAGACGTGATGCTCGAAAAGTTGTTTATCTACAACATGGGATTTTTGATTCATCCATGGGGTGAGCTTCGCACGTCTTCTAACTCTTCAAAATCATTTTCCCTTCTTATGCATAGTACTCAACTTACTTGGGTTAACACCGACTGTCTTTGGCATAAATCTCAAGTTGTCTTTGAGATCTTCTAAGCGTATGAGTTATTATACTTCTATAATATTCTAGTTGAAATGACAGTTGATCAGATAGAAGGACTCTGGAAGTATGTAATATTGGTTCTCTGCCGTTCTTAGTTCTTATTTCTCCTTTCTTTGCTTAAATATTGTCAAGATCAGTCCAATTTTCAATTGTGTTATTAAGAGTTGCTGCGGTGATCAGTTTCTAGTTGTCCACTGCATCATTATTTATTCCTTGATTATATGATTTACAGGTGGGTATCAAACGGAGTTGTTGGTTCCCCAGCATTTGCAGCCTATGATCAAGGTTTGTTCTCTGTACATTTTGGTCTATAATTTATAGGGTGTGCATATACTGTAAACTACCCTGAGATAATTCTGTAGTATTGATTCTTCTGTTTCTTGATTACAGGGTATGATGTTTTCCTAGGAAATTTCCGGGGATTGGTGTCGAGAGAGCACGTTGACAAGAATATATCCTCACGTCGGTTAGTGCATCACTTCATGCAGCTCCTATTGTGTCTGAATTGTCATTTGACCTCTTTTTCGAAAGGAAAATAATCTTCATATTTTATGTTTTTGTCGATTGCTGAATTTCTATCAAGTTACTTCAGCTCCCAAGTATGGCATCTTCATGCAGGTACTGGAAGTACTCCATAAATGAGCATGGGACACAGGATATACCTGCAATGATAGAGAAGATCCACCAAACAAAAGTTACTGAATTGAAAAATAGCCAAAAAGTTGTGGAGGAAGAGAGTGGCAATGATCAGCCTTACAAACTTTGTGCAATTTGTCATAGTTTGGGTGGAGCTGCTATTTTAATGTACATTCTAACACGTCGAATTGAGGTAAAGCCCCATAGGCTTTCCAGATTAATCTTATTATCACCGGCTGGGTTTCATCATGATTCCAATCCTGTATTCACCATGATGGAATGCTTATTCCTGGTATTGTCTCCTCTACTTGCCCCTTTTGTGTCAGCTTTCTATATTCCCACTCGGTTTTTCCGCATGTTGTTTAACAAGTTGGCCCGAGACTTCCATAACTTACCAGCAGTTGGAGGCCTTGTGCAAACTCTCATAAGTTATTTGGTTGGTGGAGACAGCTCCAATTGGGTTGGAGCCTTAGGGTTGCCACACTACAATATGAATGATATGCCAGCTGTTTCATTCCGTGTGGCCCTTCATTTGGCACAGATCAAGAACACTCGGAAGTTTATGATGTTTGACTATGGGAGTGCAGCTGCGAACATGAAAGCTTATGGTTCCCCTCATCCTTTAGATTTGGGGGAGTTCTATTCCCTTATTGATATTCCGGTTGATCTTGTTGCTGGGCGTAAGGACAAGGTCATCAGGCCGTCCATGGTAAGGAAGCATTATAAGCTGATGAAGGATGCAGGTGTGGAGGTGTCATATAATGAGTTTGAGTATGCTCATTTGGATTTTACATTTTCCCACCATGAAGAACTATTGGCCTATGTTATGTCTCGATTAATTTTAGTAGATGCTTCTATGAAGCAGCAACCTGGCCAGAAATCATTGAAGAACAGGAGAAAAGAGGGGCAAACCAGCAGCAGCCGTTAAAGTGTAGCACTAACAAGAGCCGTACCTGTCTATATCTTGGGTGTTTCTTGTAATCCATGTATGTCACTTATACAGAAAAATATAGTGAATGCTGAATCAGGATAGGACACTTATGCGGCCCCTTATTGACATTACCAAAGCCTACTCAAGGAAATAGAATTGGGTTGGATGTTGTGTCCTAGTGTGTTGGATGTGGTTTTGTGTATATTCTGTATGTATGTTGTAACTTGTAAAGGTGTACCATTGTTTTGGAATGAGTACTACACATGGTGTTTAGTGTGTAAATTAGTACTTTGTAGGATTTGAGAACTATGAAATTTGTATGAATGGGCATGATGCAAGATACAAATGATATGCCTTGAAAATATCAGCTGCTGATGTTCTTTTATTGACTAGTGTCATATAAACCTGGGGCAAGGGTTTCCGGCAGGCCCCCTTCTCTGGCTTTCCCTTTGTATAAATGAAGTGCTCTTGGCTGGACATCATGGTTCTGTTTCACTAGAACCCCAGTGCCTGCCAAATGTGTTTCCAGACCATCTGCAAAGCAGTGAGCTAATATCTGGTTTCCGTCTCCGAAAAGAGATTGGAGTCTAATCTGTTTCAGCAGTTCAGTTACACTCCTGCAATAATAGTTGCACAATTTATTAAAAGAGACTCAAGTCTACAGTAGATCCTTTTGGTTGCCCCTTCTGTACCGTGGTTTTCGTTGTAGCATTCTTCAAGCTCTTGCGGTAGGCTGTCAATGCTTCCCTTCCATTGCCCTTGCTATGCAGCAAAATTACATCAGACTTCTCCTAACGAACAGTTGATTCTGTATAAAATAGCTGTTTGTTTGCTACTTCATTGTTTTTTAAAATCCTTTTCATCTATATGATGATTTTTTTTCTCCCTCTCGGTTTTTCTCGCGATGCTGCAAATCATTGATATCTACATTATCCAATAACTTGCTTTTGCTTCTTCCATTGCTTTGGTAAAGTTCCAAATCGCATGGCTATCATTATACATTCTCATACTTGAATAGTTTATACAACTATATATATTACTATATATATGTATGACAAAAATCCAAAAATCAAATCAAATATCCAATATATATATACTTCTTGGTTATCGAACATACTGAAAGTACCCAATGTTAAGTTGACCAAATCCAGTGGGGATTCCACACCCACATTAGTGTCGTGTCAATACGAGTGAGACATGACTTTTGTAGAATCCGTGCAATATAACTAGATTAGACAGACTGACATATAAAACATGAACTTGACGATTTCGACATAACGTGAATCCATATAAAGTAGAAGTGTAATGGGTTCAGTAGTGTGATTCATTGACAGATAAAGCATAAACTTGACAGTTTGAATTTTGTTTAATATTTACGACACAACGTGAATTCATATACAACAACTAGAAGTGTAATTGGTTCAGTAGTAAGATTTAAAGGTTGAATCATGAAGTTTAAATCTTGAATCCCCCTCTTCAACTAGAATGTGAGGGTAATCGCCAAATCAGATTTTTTTGTACATATGTAACTTAATTGTAATTAGTAAACTATAACTATAAAACCTAATTAAGTTATTTTTAGTGGCTATTTGCTAAAGTGACCCTTTTTAATTTTTTTGAATGAAATCATCTTTATTTTTTTATTATTCAACATATTAAGCAATAAAAAATAATTGGTCCAAGACACTTGACATTAAGGGCCCGTTTGGCCATAAATTTTCCAAATAATATTTGGGAAAAATTTGGCAAATAATGTTTGTCCATACAATTTGTCATTATTTGGTAAATATTTTTGGCAAATATCCCAAATTTCCAAATACTAGTTTTTTCTAGT